AAGTTTTCCTGCTCGCGCGCAGAGGGCGCTTAGCGCACCTTGTTTTGCAAAGACAAATCTCTCATTTTCCATCCACTTTCACCAATTTTAGTCTTTGTGTTTAGTTAGTTTTAATTCAATTTTGTTAGGTTGTTAGAATAATGTTTGTGTTTGCTCTCAAATTTGTTTTTGATTAGCTTGAGGATGCATTTTGTGATTTTCCAAGTTTGATCGTTTCAACTTGTGAATGTATGGTTTTGATATTGTTTGAAGTTGATACTTTGCAAGGTACTTGTTTATCTCTTTCTAGAACATAGCATGATTAGGAGACTTTTCATTTGTACAATTTTTATGTCATTCATTCTTTTTCCATACTTGTTCAGTTTTGAATCACTTTAGAACAAAACCTTTTTGTGAGGAGTTTTCCATTGTTTACTATATGCAGGAGATCAACGTTCTTGTTTAACTCAGTTTTATTATGTTTAATCATATATTTGTGTTGATTTGTATGATAGCACTAAAATGATCAAGGCATTTTGTTCGATTTTGAGCATACCCAATTGACCAAATAGTCAATCTACCTTGTGAGTGAGTGAGAATTTGCTTACCCCCTTTGAGCCTTTGTTAGAATCCATGTTGGTGTTAAGTTCATTTTTGTATGGATTCTAATACTTTTTCTTGAACTATAACCATGTCTTATTATTTGAATTTTTTACCTTTGCCTAATAAGTTTGGAAGCATTCATGTCACTATGTGCGATTGTATTCAAGTTGGGGAGAAGAGGTTGGTTGCTAAGAGGTTGAGAAAAATAAAAAGTTTGAAAAAAAAACTGAAAATGAAAAACAAAAAAAAAAGGGAAAAGAATTGAAAAAAAGAAGAAAAAAAAGAATAATGTTATGCTAATAAGTTGTGTGAAATGGTGTAACAATTTGGAAAAAAGAAAAAGGTGATTGAAATTTGTGAGTGCTTGAGATTGTGAGAAATGATCACTCTTATTTGATTAGGCAAGTTTTTGTTTCTTTTACCTTGAGAAAAATAATTGTTTGTTACCTAAGCCACATACAATCTTTAAAGCCCTTGTGATTTTTTCTTTTATACTGTTCAATGTGAGTTATTTTTTATGAATACATAATTTAACTTGTTGTTAGCATGATTGTTGGGTGAGAGTTAAGCCCCTAATATTTTTTTTATTCATCTACCGATGAAGTGTGTGCTAGGTGTGATTAATTTTTTAACATTGTACTGTCTTAGAATTTTTGACATGTGTTTTATATTTAGAAGTTGTTTCGTTTTCATGTTATCTTTGTAGTTTAGTGGTATGTTTTGCTTTGCATGTACGTTTTTGTGTTAAACCATGCATTTGTTTTTGTTTTTCAAAACTTGTTGAATCGTGATTGCTTGGTTATAACTTTTGTTCCCTTGAGTTGATCGATTCTTGTTTGAGGACAAACAAGTTTAAGTTGGGGAGAGTTGATAAGTGCTAAATTGTATTGATTTTGAATGTGAATAGTTGACACTTATTGACTTAATTCGTTGGTTTTCCGTTAATAATCCCCTGTTTTTATGTACTTTTTGTATAATTTACATTATAATGTATATATTGTGTATCATATAAATATGATTGATTTTAATTGTTTTTCTCTCATTTGTGTAGGTATATAAGCAATGATATTTTTTCATTGTCTTATAGAGCATTGAATAAACTTTCCAACGCTTCCGACCGCGCGTAAAACGGAGTTACGGTTCAAAAGTTATTGTCAAAGCAAGTGCTGGTTTGCTGTCATGTTCGCTAGGCGAATAAGAGTTCCCTAGGCGAACAGAGAGTTCTAAAAAGCGTGGAAAAAACTGTTTTGGCAGTAGTTAAGGCTGCATAAGTTTGTTGGGCGAACGGGACTTCGTTATGCGAACACGGAAACTCATTTTTGCCTATTTAAGTGATTTTTCAGCATTTTTTAGGTTATGTTGTTGGAAACTTTTTACCCCAACTTCATCAAAAATATTCTTGAGTAGATTCAGTTTAGAAACAACATTAGAGTATGCATCTTGACGATGCGGAGTCGAATCCACTTTAATCGGAGTTGACAGACCGTGAAATTTATATTCTTCTTCTCTCTTCTCTTTGTACTCTCTATTTGTTGGAGATTTGTATATAAATTTATCTTGATTGTATGTATATTTATGGATCTTTATATAAAATCTCTTTTACAACTCTTTATCGATGGTTATCTTGATTTTTTAATTAATGGGTTTGGATTGCTATAGATATATACGGTTCGAACTCGATCTAAGATGAACATCTGTTAGATTCTAAACTCTAGACATAGATTTAGGACTAATATTCACGTGGGTATCGATTCTTAATGCTCCGTGTTGTCGAGTTGCGCGAGACATCACCGATGAGATGATACTGTTGATCTCTCGACTTTGCGTTAGACATAACCTCTGTTGTGAGCGATACGTGAAGATATTGACGACAAGACTGGATACTTAATATTTTTGCTTGCTGCTTTACCGCTCCAACATTCAGTTATGACCTTTAATATCACACAATGGTCCCCATGTTTTTCACACAATCTGACCTATAAATTGGACATAATATGAGCTATAAAATGTGCAGACAATATGGTCTTAAAATTTAGACATAAAGTGGCATATAATTTTGGCATGATATGAGCTATAATTTTCAGACAAAATGATCTATAATTTTCACATTAAAACCATATGAACTCAACAGATTTCACCAGAGTAGTATAATTAATTTGGCATAGCATAACGTGTTCAAAAGACTACATCAATGCCATTAAATTAGCATACCATAACATGTTCAAAAGACTACATCAGTACAAGACACTGAGCAAAATAGTAAATCAGTGCCATTACATCAAAATACCATAATTTGTTCAAAAGACTACGTTAGTACATTACATAGAGAAAAAAGTACATCAGTACATTACATCAAAATATTTGTTCCTAAACAAATCCATTGAGCAGAATACCATTCCTTCATTGGGTTAGACCTTTGCCAATTGTGTTATCTTCTTCAGTTGGAACCAAAGGGTCATCAGGTTTCTTTCCAGGTCCAGGAATGTTCTTTGTTTTCAAGGTCCTCAACCTTTCACTATGCCTTTTTTCTTATGCAACATTAGTATGTGTCTTGTACCTGCTCTGAGTTTTAAACTTAACGGGTTCACTTGAAATTGGCCTTGAAATATTTGTTCTAATACCAGGTGGTTTGAAAGGCTTATTCTTGCACACTTTTGGTTGCTTACCAAAGAAAACCTTGACACTACTTTGCTATGGTGCAACTTTCTTGAGAGGTGGTTTGTCAACCCTTAAAGGTTGAATGTCTAAGACCTCATCACCCCTTAATAATGCAGCCAGAGTTTCATCAAAACATGAAGAACGTGTAGGTTGATCCCTTTTAGTTGGCTCAAATGGTTCACTTACCATTTCCTTACTGACAATTGCTTCTTGATTAGTTGGATCAGTTGCCATTTCCTCATTGACAGTTGTTTGTTGGGCAATTGCCATTTTCTCATTGACAGTTGCTTTTCCCTCCTTGACTATTGTTTTTCCCTCCTTGGCAATTGCTTTTCCTTTCATGACAGTTGCTTTTCCCTCCTTGACAGTTGCATCAGTTGCTTCCTCAGTGACAGTTGTTTCCTCAAAATAACTCTTGCTTCATTGATAATTGGTTCCTCAGTGTTGGTTGCCTCATTAACAGTTCCTTCATTGGCAATTGGTTCCTCAGTGTTGGTTGCTTCATTAACAGTTGCTACCTTGGCAGATGGTTCCTTGGCATGTGGTTCCTTTATTGTTATAACTTTGACAGGTGCATCTTTGGCTTTTTCCTCCTTGACTTTTGTCTTCTTTGTTCCCCCCTTAGATAAACAATTGTTGGCAGTTCCCTTAGGCCTCCCCTGCATGAAACAAGCACAAAATTAACATTGTTACCCTAGCACAAAATTACCTAGTTAAACAAGCATAAAATGTTAAACTTAAGTTAAACATTACCCTTTTTTTGGGTGCCAAATTGACTTTGCTAGTATGACTTGCTTGTGTAGGAATATCTTGAGATAGTTGCGTAGGTAAGTCTTGACTGGCCTGGTTGCTCTCACATTCTAAGTTTCTTGGGTCTGCCTGGGCCATGTTTGAACAAAATAGGCAACATAGTTTCATTAGATGTTTTTGGCCATTTGTTCTGGCCATTCAATAGGGTGATCACTTCACTATAACACTTTTCGTATGTGCTTTTCTAATAACACTTATGCACATATTTGACTGGGTCACCCACTTTCCTATGTATGGCAGCCACACCATGTCTACATGGAATCCTAACAAGTTCCCAATAGTTGCATGAACATGATTGCTTTTCTAAATCCACTATAAAACTATCAGTAAACAATATGTGTGTGACTTGAAAGGTTAATCTACCAGTATAAGTTGTTGTCCAACTAACATTTTTTTTAATCTCTCTATCTAACCTCCTTAATGGTTTTGTCATTATCTTCCTTTTATAACTATCTACCGTTTCTCTAAGTGTTGCAAACCTTCCCATTAGGTAATTCCTAATCCACTCAAACATGGTAATGATTGGTTTGTATCTTTGTAAAAGAATTGTTGCATTAAAAGACTCACTTAAATTATTCATTAACACATCACACTTTGACCTTTGCAAACAAAATTTTAATCCTAAATATGGTGGATGTTAAAACTCTACTACACAAGATTGTATAGTCACATTTTTTCTTGTCCTTACATACCACCATACATCTGTTAGCATCATTTTTTTCAAACTTAACATCCTTACCATTCAAAACATTATACTTTAAGATAACATCTTTGAACTGCCTCAAAGAGGAAAACTCTATTCCCACCTTGAAAACAAAATCCTTAGTTAAAGACTCTTCTTGATTAAACTTGATTACACAGGGCCTTTCCTCACAACTATCATCATCACCACCACTGATTAGTTCATCAGTCATGTATTAATCTTCAATGACATGCTCCTTACCCATCTCTTATGTTGTAAAAATCTTCTTGTCTACATGAGCATTAACCTCTTCATTTGCAACAGGTCCATCTTTTAGTTCTTCTTTGACTCCATTATCAAACACTTCATCAAGCCCTTCATCAAACCCTTTGATTCCTTCCTCTTCACTATCATCAAAGTGAACACCTCTCAAAGATTCATCACTAGAATCATCACTTGCTTTACTCAACCTATCACTATCTTCACCACATTTGATTCCCTTTCCCCTTTCTCTAAACTTATCCATAAAGGTATCCTCTCCTACAACTTTAGGCTCACAAAATATCTCAACTTCACACTTATTTCCTACAGCATACATGGCTAACTCAGTAGCATCTCCATCACCCCTAAATGGTTTTAAGTCTTGTTCAAAGGATCCTTCATCATGTTTCCACCGCATCTTAACACCACCTATATCAAACTCAGGTTCAATCAACTTAACTAGGTCACATGCTTCAAAGAAAGACCAATAATCAAAATCTTGACCACTAAAAGCATACACTTCCCCTTTCTCATATCTTATGTTAAGGTCTTTTATGAAACAACCCTTTGAGTAAAATACAACCTTGGACTTATCCATTTCTTGTACACAAAATTTAACCAACGTTTAAAATTTACCATTACTCAGTCAAATTGATTTACCCTATTTTTTTTTCTAAAAATGGAAACAAACTTAATGTATTATACAAATGGTAATACCAATTAACAAATTAAATAAAACGGGACCACCGAGAAAGCAACAAAGATGATATACAAAAGAGGGAACATATAGGAGACACAGTACAATACCTGGGACCACTTGCTCGCCTTCTCAGGAATTTATTTTTGGGACCACTCCTACGAAGTCGCTTTGGGACCTCTGCAAACCAAGATTTCTTCTTTTAATAAAGCGAAAGCTTGTTCGTTGTTCCTTGGTCAATGCGCACCTCCAAGACAAAAATAATGGAAACTTCTGCTAGGACACACTTCTGAAGTTGAGTGTTTGAACCGTGTTTCATTTTCATCATTTAAGAAGATTATGTTATCAGCGTTTCCACGGCGGTGAATTGGAATTAAACATATCACACGTAATCAAAGCAAATATTACAGATGGTATGACACATAAGCCTCCGTTAGTGAAAACTAACGGAAGAGACCATATTTGAAGACGAAAAATTTTGTGAGGGTCAATGTTAGAAAAAAAATTTTATAGGGACTAAACTTAAAAGTTGTCATATTTATATGGACTAAAAACATATTTAACCAAAATAAATTATTCAAAATTAGACTAGTTATGAATGAAAATTATAATGAAATGAGTGACCTATTCATTATATTACAAAACATCAACGATGTCAAATTTTCCATCCATTGCAACATTCGTTGCAAAATTTCTTGTTGTTTGTTGCAACATTCATATGCATTGCCACTTAATAAATAAATAGATAAATATTTAAATAATAAACAGCCGTCACTTAAAAATATTCTCTAATTAGAGAATGTGTGTACATGTTGAAGTGCTCTCTTTCTCAGAGTCTGATTCAATGGTTTTTAATTACGGCGTAGAAACCTAAAGAAAAATAAACGATAAAAGGTAACTTGCTCGAAAAATCTTAATGCAATGTTCCATGTGGAGAGAAAAAAGAGTTATGGAAGAATTTAGGGTCTGTTTAGTGTGCATGATAGTTCAAATTAATTATACATTAAACAAAAAGTGAAATTTGTTATTCCCTCAGTTTCAAAATTATTATATTTTAGCAAATAAAGTTTGAAATACCATTATGATTATAAATAATTGTTATCTTTTCAATTATGTTATTTAATTATTATTATATATACCACTTTTAATATATTAATAAAATTAATTTAATAAAATTGTAATATTTTATAATAATATTATTGTATTTTTTAATTTGTGCACAAAATCTTAAATAACAACCATTTTAAAATATAGAAAATATATTTTATTAATTTGGTAGGTAAAAAGGGAATGATGACGTCTCAATCAAATTAAAGAAAATGTTGAACAATCACTCATTACATACCATCAACTAACAAAATACCCATGCAGACGCACGGGTAAATTTATTTAATACGATATATTAATGAGTTATTTAATTATAAAATAAATAATAATAATAATATAAATTAAATTTTAATATTTGAAAATAAGAATTTTATGTCTAAAATAAATATAATTGTTAATTAAAATAAAATAAATATTTTGATGATAGTGATCCGTGAAAACAATAGAAACTGACATTTGAAAATAATAATTTTGTACTCCAAATAAAGATAATTGTTAATTAAAATAAAATAAAATAAAGAGAAATTTTGATATTTAAAAATAAGAATTTTTTATCTCAAATAATAAAAATTATTAATTAAAATAAAATAGATATTTTTCTAATAAAATAGATTAATTATTAATTTTGATATTTGTAAAATAAAATAGATTAATTAATATTAATAATTATTTGAAAATAGATTAATTTTGATATTTGTAAAATAAAATAGATTAATTAATATTAATAATTATTTGAAAATAGATTAATTTTGATATTTGTAAAATAAAATAGATTAATTAATATTTTTAATAATAATAAATAATAGAATTGATTAAATTTGTGGTAAAAACAAAATTGAATACCAATATTGTATATATTTATACACCAATAAATATTTAATATGATAATCTTATACTATAATTATAATGAGGTCATGTGTAGGTTGGAAAAAAATTGAGACATTGGTTATTTACTTTTTTTTAATATTTTATTAATATAAATTAATGTAAAGAAAAAAACAATTTAAATAGTTAGACCGTAGTTAATTTTAATAGAAAGATAGTTGAAACTTAAAAAAAATAAAAAATAAAAAAGAAAATGAAGTGTTAAAAAATTAAAAATAAAAGTGAGAAAGTGTGGAAAATAAAATGGGAAAGAGATTTAAAATTTGAATTGAAATGAGAGAATGAAGATGGAAAAAGTTTAAGTTTTAAAAATGAATGATTGGAATGAGGTCATGTGTCACTTTGTGGTAAAGTATATTGGAAAAAAAATTGAGACATTAATCATTTACTTTTTTAATCTTTTGGTAGTGTAAATTAATGTAAAAGAAAAGACAATTTAAATAGTTTAGTGGTAGTTGATTTTAATAAATAGATAGTTGATACATTCTAATAAATTACTTTGAGAGAAAATCTAAGGAAATACATATCTTTCTAATATGTAGCAAAAAAGGGGATTCAAAGTGCCTTGTATATTGTATGGGCTAGAAGGCTTTTGGCTTCTATGTGTTTGGTAACTTTTTGCGTACCTCCCTCTAACAAATCATTATCGCTTACTAAGATAAATTATTATATTCATTTATGTAGCTTGTTATTACACTAAAGGCATCAAAGTTATGAAATAGTAAAGTTAGACAATCTTTTCCCATATTGTATTTAGTATTTTTTTTATAAGTAAAATATATTAAGAAAGAGCACAAGGGAAAGGAATACTCAACCCTTAATACAAAGGAACCAAAACAAATAAACCAATAAATGAAAGCTCATAAAGCTCCTAAGAATAAAAAACAAGAACCTAGATTAGAATCTCATTCCCTATAAGAATGGTTTAGGGACTTCTTAATCTTGAATTGATACCACTCCCATGCAATTTTAATACCTGAGAGAAGCTCCAAGTTTGCTAAAACACCTTCCTTGAATAAGATGAAGTTTCTACTCAACCACACCACCCAACAAACAATGCCCCCCCCCCCTAAAAAAAGAAGAAAAGAAATGTTAATCGCAAATTTTGGCCTAGCCAACACACAAAACTGGGCCAAGTGATGTATAAGGACCCACGACACAATCAATTCCGAGCCAAGGGACTCGCCTTTTCAACTCCTACCGGAATGACTTAACTTTTTGAGTCTCGTCTGAGGGACTCCCCTTTTTAAGTTTTGTTAGAGGGATTTAACTTTTTAAGTCTCGCTCGAGGGAGTTTCCTTTTCCAATCTCGCTTAAGGGACTCAACTTTTTAAGTCTCGCTCGAGGGATTCGCCTTTTTAAGTCTTGTTTTAGGGACTCAACTTTTTAGGTCTCTCCCGAGAGACTCACCTTTTCAAGTATCGCTTAAGAGACTAAACTTTTAAAGTTTCGTCTGAGGAACTCGCCTGAGGGACTCAACTTTTTATGTTTCGCACGAGGGAATCTTATTTTCAAGTCTCGCTTGAGAGACTCAACTTTTTAATCTCGCATTTTTAAGTCTCGCCGAGGGATTCAATTTCCTAAATCTCTCTTAAAAAAGGAGTATCGTCTACCTTGTTTAAACACTTTGCCTTCTCCGAGCCTCATGCCTGAGAAAATGTGGATTGTGATAATTCTGATTGGACCCTGCAAGAGTACAGATTATAACTTAATTAGCTCAAGAACTTCTTAAATGGGCAAAATTACGAATCATGCAGACACTATATGGTGGGTCATGGGTCGTCTGACCCGACCCATTTTGCTTAAAATATGAGGTTCATGACCCAAATATGTGCTATTAAAGTTGCAACTATGCTAATATGTGTGAGACGACTTTCTTTGAAAGTGCTAGTATTTACCACTTCTCTAAGGAATAAAGCGTTCTTCCTATCTTGGGGAAGAAACTGTTCTTCATAGTTTTGGGAAAGAACAATTCTTTGTATTCTTACGCCTTAGCCAAGTAATTGAATTTGAATTGGTTCTTTGTTCAATCGTGACTATAAATATCCAACTCTTAGGGTTGGAGGTGAAAAAATTCAATATTTTCAAAATATTCAAATATTTTATTGAGCTTTTTGCAACTACCAAAAGTTAAAATAGAAGAGTTAAATATGGTTGTAGTCATCTTAAATATTTCAAATATCATTTTTAGTCTCAAATTATTTCATTCAAAGAATAATTCTTCTAAAAATTTTCATCCACACTTTTGATTTCAAATACAAAAATTGTCTTTAAAATTGTCGTTAATTCAATCGCAAAATAATAATTTGTCCATAATTTTGTCATTAAATTGTGAAATCTCATCAAATTGCTAGAGAGAGAAAAAATATAGATACAAATTTTTATAAAGACTATTTTTTTTAAAAATATTTTAAAAAATTAAAAACATAAATTAAAATATTTAATCCAAAATAAAATTACTTTTTACTTAATTAGAAACATAAAATCCCGAGCACATTATTAAGACATGACATAGTAGAGCCACAAGTTCTCAATGTAATAAAGCATATATAATGACTAAACCACAGCCACAAATTCAATCGAATCAATCACTTTCATTCAAGGACACAAATTTGTCCACATTAAAATCCATGTCATCAACACCAGATAAGCAAGAGGATAAGCTAAACCCAATCTTCACCGTCAAATGGATACTCTCCAAAATCCAACGGCCAAAATCTCCTAAGCAAAGATTATCATAATCATCATCACCTCCACCCTCATCAAATACAACACCACTCATTCCCCAATTCAAAAACTCACAACAAACTCTCCATTTTCTATTCGCACCCCCCTAAGCGCACATTAGCACAAACCAAATGGCAACCGCAACAGCAACCGCCGCTGCCACTTCGTCCTTCATCGGAACTCGTCTCCGGGAAGTTCAATCCAACTCCGGCCGAGTACAAGCCCGGTTCGGATTCGGAAAGAAGAAAGCCGCACCAAAGAAACCGTCACGCTCGACTCCAACCACCGATCGCCCGTTATGGTTTCCCGGAGCAAAGTCACCGGAGTATCTAGACGGAAGTTTGGTCGGCGATTACGGCTTCGATCCATTTGGTTTGGGGAAACCAGCTGAGTATTTGCAATTTGACCTTGATTCACTTGATCAGAATCTGGCGAAGAATCTCGCCGGAGATGTGATCGGAACTAGGACGGAGTTTGAAGATGTTAAATCGACGCCGTTTCAACCTTACACCGAAGTTTTTGGACTTCAGAGGTTTAGAGAATGTGAATTGATTCACGGTAGATGGGCCATGCTTGCTACTCTTGGTGCTCTTACGGTTGAATGGCTCACCGGTGTTACATGGCAAGACGCCGGAAAGGTTTGTTTGCTTTTGAAATGTTAAAAATTTTGTTTAGGGTTTATTACTGCTAATTTTGATTAGTTTTCACGTTTATTACTGCTAATGTTGATTAGGTATCACTTATATTAGTGTTAATTACTGTGTTGTTTAGTGTTTATCAATGCTATTGGTGGATGCATGCATGCATGCATTTAGATTCAATTGTTGAGTTTGTTAGTTTATTATTTTTATATTTTTTTTATATATTATTTATAAAGATTCATTTCAGCAATTTTTCAAAGAAATTTCCAAAATTGTATTTTTAACTAAAATTAGATTTCAAACATTTAAAAAAAAAATTTAGAAAATTAAATATCTTTTATAGAGTTGTATGAAACAAACACATGATATATAATACTATATTAAAGGTAATTGCATCTTTGATATATTAAATCCTAAATCCTAAAACATTTGAATGAGATGCTAAGAGTTCTCTTTCAAGAGGTCTTGGGTTCGAATCAGCCCTTTGTATAGTGTGTTTGTGTATTCAATAAATATTGATTTTATGAATTCTATAGTGCTAATTGTTGGTGTGTGAGTGTTGTAAACCCTAGCGATTGAGTTCGGTTTCTACATTTAAAAAATAAATTATGAATTTTATGTTTATTTTTTCAGGTGGAGCTAGTTGAAGGATCAACGTATCTTGGACAACCACTTCCATTTTCAATTACAACATTGATTTGGATAGAAGTTCTAGTAATTGGCTACATTGAATTCCAGAGGAATGCAGAGCTTGACTCAGAAAAGAGACTATACCCAGGTGGAAAGTTCTTCGACCCACTCGGTTTAGCAGCTGATCCGGAGAAGAAAGAAACACTTCAATTGGCTGAAATCAAACACGCTCGTCTTGCTATGGTTGCTTTCCTTGGTTTTGCAGTTCAAGCTGCTGCTACTGGTAAAGGACCTCTTAACAATTGGGCTACACATTTGAGTGATCCTCTTCACACTACCATCATTGATACCTTTTCTTCCTCTTAGTTCTTGTAACTTATGTATCGTTCTCTATATGAATATATTAATGTCTTTTGGCATTGGTTGTAAACATTGTGCTTAGTTTGATTTTAGTACTTGTGAAATTCCTAACGTGGATTGGAGCAGTTAATTAAGCATGGTTTTTTTCTGCTTGATGAGACGTGTTAATTCTCCTAAATGTTCATTAAGCATGAAATTTGAGGGCAAAAGAGAATGAGAAGACAAGTAACACTTCCTTTATTTACTATTACAAACAAATATTTTACTGAATATCTGGTGTATTTGGTTCATATAAAAACCAAATACGAAATTATTCAACAAATATTTTATTGAATATCTGGTGTATTTGGTTCATATAAAAACCAAATACGAAGTTATTCAACAAATATTTTATTGAATATCTGGTGTATCTGGTGCATTAATGTTGTATTGATATTTCAAAGTGACTTATAATTTAAAACAAATAATTTTTGTAAAATGACTTTTAATTTGAGACAAAGGTAGTCAAATTTAAATAACCCTCAATTAGAATGTCTTCAAATAACCCTCAATTAGAAGTTATTAGTGTGAAATACAATAAAAAAGGGAGAACATGATTGTGTGTATGATTGCCAAAGACACTGTATATTAGGTTTTTTCACATTAGTGAATATTTATTTCGAACCCTAACTAGGAGGTTTCATGGGCCGAATGGAAGGGAGACAGAAACAATTTTCCCTACTTTCTATATGAATTCGTGGGAGTAGGGGAAACCGATTTTTCCTTCATTATATAGGAACAATTTTTTTTCCATTCATGTAATGTTTTGACTCTTTTTTTAGAACACAATGCATGCCACATATTAGCGAAGTGGATCAATTAATGAACATGGTCTAGGATGACACCCGCTCAGTTCTTTCTTGGCCTCTTAGGTTATTTCTTTCCGAACCAATCAGGTTGCTTCTTTTTAGACCCAATAAATTTATTCCAGTCCACATTCTCCTCAAGCACGAGGCCTGAGAATGGTGAAATGATTAACTTAAACGAACAGCGCTCTTAGTGAATTCTATGGTAACAAATATTTCAAAAATTGCTTAGAAAGAGTCTCTCGAGTATTGCTTGGGGCGAGTTCCTCAAGTGTTTCTTGAGGCAAGCCCTCAAGCATTGTTTGGGAGGCACACACAACATTTAATGCTTATACATGCTAACTTTTTTTTGGGAAGATGCAACTATTGTGATTCGTTGATCATATGCATGCATTAGTCTTTCGTAGATGTCTCCACTAACAAACCGTTGACGCACACCTATGCCCGAGCAATGATAGCCTATGAGGCCTTGGTAGTATAGTTTTATAGAGAAGAATTTTGAACCTTTTAATATTCACACTTCCTTCATTTTTCCTATACTTCTTAAGCAAGAGTCTCTCCTTAAGCTTCTCCAAGTTTTTCCCTGCCTTTTAACCATTGTCATCCTAAGGCACATGCATTAAATTTTTTTCCTTTTTTTGGTTTCTTTTTTCCAAAAGGGTGATTATTAAGGATCTAAATAAAGGGGTAATGTAGTTGAACCCTATATTGTTTGAGAGCGTATAAATATGTAGGGTTATTGTATGAGGAACGCTAGGAGAATTGACGACACGACTTGCCACAAATTTTTTGAAATATATTAAATGTTAGATTAAATATGATTGCACACCTTAGGTAGAAAAGTGTTAGATTGACTAAAATCAAAGGGAAAAATACCCTGTGCATTTGTTCGGCCCATAATCCCTTTGGTGTCGTCCAACTTTTTCTTTATGCCGTATAAGATTACCTTGTTGTTTGATTTTGTCTATCCATTCGCCTCTAGGTGGACGATTGAAATGAAATTTGTTTGAATTCCCACTTGATTACAGAATTCCCCCAAGGTTAAGTCAGCAAATTGAATTCTGTTATTTAAGTCAATACTCCTCGACAAAACAAACCTATAAATGAGGTGCTTATAGTAGAAACCTCACACTCTTATTACTATGACTTTGGATACATCTTCATCCTCTATCCATTTGGTGAAATAGTTAACTCCCATAATCAATAACTTCAAATAACCTGGCGCTAAAGGGAAGGGACCCAAGATGTCCACTCCCCACTAGTAAAAGGGTCAAGGAGACGTGACAAAATGGAATATTTAGGTTGACGCATAGTGAAGGTTAGAATGTATTTTGCATTTGTTGCATTTTTTGACGAACTTTATGATGTCCTTTATCAGGCTTAGCTAATAGTAACCTGTCCTTAATAGTTTGTGAGTGAGTGCTCACCAACCAATGTAACTTCTGCATACCCCTTCATGGACCTTAATGAGAACCAGGGCGGTCTCATCATCGCCCATACATCTTAGCATAAAGGGATGCCTTTTCCATCTTTTACATCTTTTCTCCTATCATAGTATACTTCACAACTAAACTTTTGATCTTCTTCGCTTCGACCTCCTCTACATAAAGTTATTTTGTTGTCAAGTAGTACATTATATGGGCCATCCAACTTTTAACATCAACGAAGTTTATGTCGTTGACTTCCTATTTCTCTGTACTAATATGGATAAGAGTTAGTATCACTATTTTGTAATGACTTGGCTCTTTGGTGTTGGTGAGCTTCGATAACGTATCCACCTGGGCATGAGGGCTTCATATTCAACTTGATTATTATTGGACCTGAACTTGAACCTCAAGGATTGGTCTAGTTGCTCGACCTTCCAATACTACCCCGACGTCAATACCCTTAAGGTGGGAGGCACTGCCTACTGATAAGGTTTAGATGTGTAGAACTTCCTCGCCTACTAGGTACCTAATTTACTAGGAAGTCCTCCATAACATGAGATTTTATGATGTTTGCATCTTGGTATGAGGTTAATATCATATTTTGACAGCTCTACTGACCAAGATACCATCATGTCTTCTTGATCGAACATTTTTAGAATTTAAAGGATTTGATAATTCTTCTTTACCACCACATGGTGTCCCTGGAAGTATGGCCTTAACTTCATCGATGTTATCACGACCATCAATGTAGTATATTTATCTTTTGGAATCTAAGTTATGCGCCCCTGAACACTTCGCTGATGAAGTAGTCTGGCTATTTAGTATTTTTTTTTTCTTGGACCAATACAGAGCTTATCGCCATGTCTTTTACTGAAAAATACAACTATAATGACGCGATTCCTCTATGAGTGTTAGTACTAGAGGGGTTTCCAAAAATATTAGCCTTGCAAATTCCTCATCCACACGCTCAGACTTCTTCTTCTCTTTTAGAGTAGCAGAAAGTGAAAGACTTTATCGAGTGCACAAGGAAGAAACTTGGATAATACAACCAATCTTATCATTAGTTGCTGGACCTTCTTCATTGAGGTGGGGCTTCTCATATCAATGACAGTCTGAAATTTTTTGGGGTTTGACTCTATTCCTTTTCTGGTTAACATGAATCCCAAAAAATTGTCCGCCTGAACCCCAAAATAACATTTGGCGTGGTTCATATGCATGTTATAACTCCTGACTGACTTCAGGGTTTCTTCTAGGTCACTATAGCGATCTCCTTCCCCCAGGGTCTTTGCGACCATGTCATCAATGTACACTTCTAGGATGTAACCTATATGATTGAAGAATACAACATCCATCAATCTCGGATAGGTGAGGTATGCATTCTTCATTCAGAAAGGCATAACGTTGTAGTAGTAATTTCAATTATTTGACATAAAGGTTGCCTTGAGCGCATCCAGAGTGTCCATCTTTATCTAGTTATAACTAGAATAAGCGTTCATGACACTCTGAGTTTTGTATCTTGAAGACCTGTCTACCGATCTGTTTATGTTTGGTAACGAATTGGGATTCTTATGGAACGCCAAGTTTCAATCGGTGAAATCTACACACATTCACCATTTATGGGATGATTTTTGAACCAACACCATATTTTCTAACTAGGTCGGATACTTGATTTTTGTAATGAAACCTTCTTCCTTCAATTTTACTTATTCTTTGTCTATGGTCATCTATTTCTCCTTGTCGACCTTGCGTTTTATCTACTTTACTAGTCTTACTATGGGATTGATGATGAGATGCTACCATAGCTAGCAGCACCAACAGCAGCACACAAAATATTTGGGCCTAGTCTTGACGTGTGTTCTTCCTTTAGGCTTATGCCAAGTCTCTTGATAAGATGGATATGATTTCTTGTTTGTCTTCAAATGAGTAGCCTATTGAGGAGACAAGGACTCCTGACAAGGGTCCAACAAAATTTCCTAATGAGGTGACAAGGATCCCTCATAAGGATCTTACAGTATTGCATAATAAGGTGACAATGATCCCTGATAACGATGTATCAGTATTTCCTAGTAACACGACAATGATATTTACTAAGGGTTACACAATGTTTACTAATAAGACAACAAGGGTCTCTGATAAAGGTCCAACAATATTGCATATTGATGCAACAAGGATCCCTGATAAAGATCTACCACTGTTGCATAATAAGACGGTAAAAATACTTGATAGGTGTTTAGCAATACTACCTATTAAGGAGACAAGGATTACTAATAAAGGTCCAATAATATTTCCTAATAATGCAGCAAAGATCCCTGATAAGGGTCCAACAAAATTTCCTAATAAGGCGACAAATATCCTTGATAAGGATTCAACAATATTGTATAATAAGGCGATAAGGATCCCTGATAAAGGTACATAAGTATTGTGTGATAAGATGGCAATGATTGGTGATAATGGTCCAATAATATTTCCTAATGAGGCAGAAATGATCTTGGATAAGGGTTTGTTAAAGTAGCCTCTTAGGGAAGTAATGATCATGTAGTGTCATGTACTCTATTGCTTACGAAATGAACTCAGTTGGTTCAAATCTTGAAACTCATGAGGTAGTTTTTACACATTTCACCTCTTTGTGGACAAATTATTATCTTTAACTTTGTGCATGACAATTTAATTATTTTTTATCCTTATTATTCTAGGCTAGGCAGAGGCCCAATAAGTGAAAGGCCCGTCATCAATC